CGACGACGGAGGCGGTGGCGGTGGAGACCGAGGCGGAGGACGCGTTCGACGCGCGCGCGGTGTTCTACGCCGTCGCGGACGCGGACGACGACGGGGATTTGAAAATCGTTCGAGCCGCGCGTCCGCGGTCGATGCGAACGGAGATGGACGGGAGGACGGCGTCGACGCTCGCGAGACTTCGCGAAGACGTTGAATCGGAGGAGACGAACGCGATCGAACACGCGTTCGTCAAGCCGGGACACGAGGCGTGGGTGTGCGCGAGCGCGACGGATGGTAAACGCGCGTACGTCGTCGTCGAGGACACGAGCGATACGCTCTTGCGGGCGGTGCGGAGCGCGAAGGCTTTCGCGAAAAAGTCATTTCCGGACGCGTCGAGCGCGTTCGATTTGGAGACGTAAATAGCGCGGTTGTCGTGGGATTTAGAATTAGACTCATTCGCCGCGCGTACGGCGCGACTGACGTCTCACTACACTTGTCTACACCGCTCGCGCACCAGGGCGCAAACCTCGCGCAATCGTCGAATGAACTCAGCCGGATTTCGATCGTACGTGTCGTCGTGACCGGCGCCCTGAATCCAATACGGCTCGAGCACTAAATCCTCCGGTCTCGCCGTCTTTTTAATCGCCGCCCACAGCGCTTCGCCGTGCGAGACGTGCACGACCGCGTCCAATTCGCCGTGTACGAGCAAAAATGGGCACTGCGCGCTCTTGACGTGCTGATAGTTCTTGTACACGTCCAAACTCTTGAACACCTTGGCCGGAGTGCACCACGCGCTCGGCGAACTCACCACGCTGAGCGCGCTCAGGAGCGGGGAGACGAGCACGACGGCTCCGAACCCCGGGTTCTTGCTCGCGTGCGCGCACGTCGGCCCGCTCCCGATCGATTGCCCTAAAAGAATGATCTCGCGTCGTTCGACGCCGTATCGCTCGCGCACGTGACGCACCACGGCGTCGATATCCGCGTGCGTGTCCGCCACGCTCGCCTCTCCGCGACTCCGCCCGTACCCGGAGTAATCGTACGTCACCACCCGACACTCCAACTGTTGCGCCAACTTCCTCGCGAACGGCGCCACCTCGCCCGCGTCCACCGCGTTTCCGTGACTGAACACGATCGTCACGCCACCCACCCGCTCTCGCGTCGCCGACGCCGCGTCCGCCGTCGACGGCGCTTCGCACGCGAGGATGACGATCTCATTCCCTCGCGTCGTCTCGCGCGTCGTCGCCTCGCACGCGTCCAGGACGCGTTGAAACGCCCGCGCGTGCGCCTCCGGCAGCGTTCCGCGCGCGGCGTTGTACCGCGCGCGCGTCTCGCCGTTCGCGCATTCTAAATCATAGCTCGGCGGGTCCGGCGGGAAAAACGCGAGCGATTTCGCCAGCGCCTCGCTCGAGCACCGCTTCGCGCAGAACGCGGCGCCGATCACCGCGGTGGGGACGCACTGCGTCGGCATCGCCCCTCCGTCGACGCCGCGCGCGGTGCTTTGGCGTTCCCGCCGACGGAGAACGGTCTCCTCGACACGGACGCGCGCGACCGATCACGCCTTTCGACGCGACCGGTCACGCCTTTCGACGCGACCGGTCACGCCTTTCACGGTACCTTTGGAATCGCGTCCATCGCACCGGTCGCGTTTTCACCACGTCGACGTCCCGCGTGCGCGTCCGCGTCGACGCGCGTCGCCCGCACACGCCGTCGCGGGACGCGCGGAGAACGGGCGCGGAGAACGGGCGCGCGTTTGAGGGGCGCGCGCGCGTTTGAAGGGCGCTCGGACGCGAACGAGGATTCGGGCGATCGGGACGTCGGCGGCGATCGCGGATCGTTCGAACGCGTCGCGCGCGCGTCGACGGGGGTGATCGTCGGTGCGATGGCGACGATCGTCGATCGATGCGATGCCCGCGCGCGGACGTCGGTGACGGTGGCGACGCCGGCGGAGGCGGTGGCGTCGTACGCGTTTTACGCGCACATGGCGAGCGGCGCGCTCGCGGGGGCGGTGGAGCACACGGCGATGTTTCCCGTGGACACGATTAAGACGCGGATGCAGGCGGCGAGAGGGATGGCGATGCGTCCGGGTGGCCTCGGGGGAGGGGTAGCGGTGGACGCGTGGCGAGCGGCGACGCGAACGAGCGCCGAGAGCGCGGGCGTCGCGCTGCGAGGGCTGTACAGAGGGGTGAGCGCGGCGGGTCTGGGGGCGGGACCGGCGCACGCGGTGTACTTTGCGACGTACGAGAAGTGTAAGAGAGTTTTTGGTGGGAACGATCGGCGCGAGCACGCGCCGTTGGCGCACGCCATGGCGGGGGCGTGCGCGACGACGCTCGCGGATGGGTTACAGAACCCGGTGGACACGGTGAAGCAGCGGTTGCAGCTCAGGGAATCGCCGTACAAGGGGGTGGTGGATTGCGTCTCTAAGACGCTCCGCAACGAGGGTATTCGCGCGTTTTATAGGAGTTACCCGACGACGCTGGCGATGAACGTCCCTTTCACCGCGATTCATTTCTCCGTGTACGAGGGAGCCAAGCGCGCGCTCTTCAAGGCGAGCGAGGCCGAGCGAGAGGGGTTCGCCGTGCAGTTCGCCGCCGGGGGCATCGCCGGCGGTCTCGCCGCCGCGATGACGAACCCGATGGACGTCGTGAAGACGCGTATGCAGACGGAGTGCGTCTTACTCGACTGCGACGTCGCCAAGTCGGCGGAGCAAACGGCGAACGGCGTGTGCACCGTGAGGGGTCAACCAAAGATTTGTCCGCAAGAGCTCGCGGCGATGCGTGCGCGAACGGCCGCCGCGGCGAATATAACGTCGCCCTTCTCCATCGCTCGCGTTATCGTTAGGGACGAGGGTGTGATGGCGCTCGCGTCCGGCATGGGCGCTCGCGTCTTGTTTCACATCCCAGCCGCCGCCATCTGTTGGACCACGTACGAAGCCGCCAAGCGCGCCTTTGGTCTGGACGAGGACGACGAGTACGGCGGCCACCACTGAGCGTCTCGAAGATTCATATAGGCACTTTCTAGCGCGCTTGTCATCGCACGAAGCGAATATCACGCGAATCATTCCTCCCGCGCGCGCGGATAGAACCGGATAGCGATGACATCATCGTTTTGATGAAAAGTGCAAAAAGGCCCCATGCAGGCACCGTCATAATCACTCGCGCGCACGCGTCGCCCGAGCCCGAGTCATGCGTCGCGCCCTCGAGCGCGCGAGCGCACTCGCTCTTCGCCCGCTCGCCCCGGCCGGCGTCCGCGTCAGCGTCCGCGGCGTGCAGTGGAAGGCGGACGACTGGGAAAACTATGAATTCGATGAACAGTCGCGAGACGCACCGAAACCGCCGGCACCGGCGACGCCGGCGCCCTGGAAGCCCGAGAAACCGAAACCGAAGAGCGGCGCACGCGGAGCGACCGCGCCCGGGATCGCGCCCAAGCTGGAGAAGACGGGACCGGCGGCCGGGAACGCGAACACGGTGCCAGAGGTGACGGAGGCGGACCGGGACAAGCTGAGCTCGCAGTCGCACCTGGCGCGCATGATGACGGACGGCGCGTCGTTCGTCGAGCACGGCGTGGGTGGTTTGGATAAGGAATTTGCGAATATTTTCCGTCGAGTCTTCGCCTCGCGCATGGTGGACGTGAACATCGCTCGAAGGTTGAAGCTGCAACACGTCAGAGGGGTGCTCCTGTACGGGCCGCCGGGAACGGGTAAGACGCTCGTGGCGAGACAGTTGGGGAACATGCTCAACGCGCACCCGCCAAAAATCGTGAATGGTCCAGAGATTTTACAAAAGTTTGTCGGACAGAGCGAGGAGAACATTCGCGAGCTATTCGCTGACGCGGAGAAGGAGGCGAAGATGCGAGGCGACAAGAGTCAGCTGCACATCATCGTCTTCGACGAGATCGACGCCATCATGAAGGCTCGAGGTACGGGCGGGGAAACTGCGAGCGTGGTGCACGATAACGTGGTAAACCAGCTCTTGACCAAGTTGGACGGTATGCACGCGCTGAACAACGTGTTGATTGTCGGTATTACCAACCGCAAGGACTTGCTCGATCCCGCGCTCTTGCGACCGGGTCGTTTGGAGCTTCAGGTCGAGGTCGGACTTCCGGACGCGCACGGCCGAGAGCAAATTCTGCGCATCCACACCAACGCCATGGCGAGCGAGGGCTTACTCGGCGATTGCGTTGACTTGTCGGAGCTCTCCAAGCAAACGGTGAACTACAGCGGCGCGGAGCTGAAGGGTCTCGTCGGAGCTGCGACGTCGTACTCGCTCACCAGACACATCAAGGCGAGCGCTGAATTCGATCAAGCGGACAGCGCTGAGGCACCCGTGGTGCTCATGCAAGACTTCTTGAGTGCTCTCGAGGAAGTGCCACCGGCTATGGGCGCTGACGCCGCGACGCTCGAGGCGATGCGCCCAGATGGTTTCGTCGAGCTCGAGCCGGCAGCCGCGCACGGCGAAGCCGAGGAACAACTCAAAACAATCGTCAACGCCATGCGAGACGGTGCGACGGATCACATGACGTGCATGATCTCCGGCCCGACGGGATCTGGTAAGACGGCGCTCGCGGCCACGGTGGCTCTTGCGAGCGATTACCCGTACGTGAAGGTTGTCAAGCCGGACAGCGTCATCGCCAACACGCCGGGCGGAAGTGGAACTACGGATGACGTCCTCACCGCCGCCGTGAAGGCGTCGTTCGAGGACGCCATGAGATCCACGCTCAGCTGCTTGGTTATCGATTCAGTTGAGACACTCGTCGGCGTCGCTCCCGGTGACGGCAGCGAAGGCGTCAACGTTGCGCACCCGAAGGCCCTGGCAACGCTCAGCGCACTTTTACAGCGCAAGCCACCGCCTGGTCGCAACCTGTTGGTCCTCCTCACAACGTCGTCGCCGAAGACGCTCGAGCGCTTGGGCTTGGGAGCTGGCGGCATCATCGACGCCGACGTGGTCGTTCCCACGCTCACCACCGATCAATCTGCGAGCGCTTTAGTCTCTGTCGGTGCATTCGCCGACGTCTCCGCCGCGCGCGAGGCCGTGACGTCGCTCGGTCGCGACACCGTTCCCATCAAGTCGTTATTATCCACGGCGCGCGTCGCCAAGGCGATGTCCCAATCCGGCGTCGACCTGGACGCGTGGCGTCGTGCCTCCCAGCGCACGCGTCTCGCCCGCAGCTGATTCGCGTTTATTCATTCGGCCCGTTAAGGCCGCATTTGTTGTTATACAGTACGCCTTTAAACGCCACCGCGCCGCCTCGCGCGCCGTCGCGTCTCGCTCAAGTAACCGTCTCGACGCGACACCACGGCGCGTCGGTATTCGCTCGACCGCGATGCCGACGGCGACGCGACGCGCTTGCGTCGTCACCGCCTTCGTCCTCGCGTGTATCGCGGCGTCGCTTCCGCACGCGCGCGCGTTCGAGAGCGCGAACGTCAAAGAGCGCGAAGATGAAAAAACATCAACTTCAAACAAAGTCGAGCTCCGCTCCTTCTTCGACGCCCGGGACCTGAGCGCGCACGCGCTGGAGCAATCGTCACACAACGCCTTACATCGAATCGACGGGACGCGCGTGAACGCGGTTGACGGGAGAGTGTTGGCGACGAGCGGGTTTGAGATTCGAGTGAACGCGAGCTCGGTGGCTTCGGGCGAGCGGGTGACGGTGACGGTGTCGTCGAACGGGAACGCGCCGAACGCGACGTTCGCGGAGCATTGGATCGGAGCGTACTCCCCGGCCGGGGCGGACGTGACGAGGACGGCGCCAGTGAAGTACGCGATGTTGACGAATGTCACGAACGGAGAGTACGAGCGAACCGGGAGCGGTTCGGCGGCGTTCGATTTGACGACGCATCGCGCGGAGACGTACGATTTCGTGCTCTTCGCGACGCGAATGAGCGATTTGAGTGAGACGAGCGCGATGGCGATCGCGAGAAGTGATCCAGTGAAGCTCACGAACGCGCTCGATCCGGTGTGGCCCAGGGTGACGCTTCCGATTGGATGGAATGGTGGTTCAGCGCGCGTGACGTGGCAGTCGGGACGTAACGCGAGTCATGGCGCTCGTTTGATGTATCGTGTCGGTGGTGGCTCGTACACGCGCGTGCCGGCGTCGACTACGACGTACGACGAGCGCGATTTGTGCGGCGAGCCCGCCAACGGTTTCGGTTATCGGCATCCCGGCTACATTCACTCGGCGGACGTCTCAAACGTGCGCCCGGGAGACGTGATCGAGTACTTCTTGCAAGATTTCCACGTCACGAGCGATCGATTCGAAATGAAAATGCCCCCTGGAGAAGGACCGGATGCGCGCGTCACACTCGCGCTCTTCGCCGACATGGGTAGAGGTACGTCGGACGACTCGGAGACATGGAGGGCGTACGGTCGACCATCCATCAACGTCAGCGCGGCGCTCGCCGCGGATGCGCTGGACGAAAAGTTTGACGCGGTTTTCCTCTTCGGGGATCTGTCCTACGCCACCGGTTTTGCGTCCATTTGGGATGACTGGGCGGCGCAAATTGAACCGTGGGCGTCGAAAGTGCCTTTCATCTCAAACATGGGAAACCACGAGATGGATTATTCCTCTTTTCCGGACGGTCGAATCGCTGACCTGTACGGTGGGCGAGACAGCGGTGGCGAGTGCGGTGTTCCAGCGACGCGCCTGTATCCGACGCCGCGCGCGGGTCCAGACTCGGATTGGTTTGCGGTTACGTTTGGCGCCGTTCGCGTCGTGAGCATGAACACCGAGGTGGACTTTTCGCCATCCTCGCCTCAAGGGAAGTGGCTAGAACGCGAACTCTCGAGCGTCGATCGCACTCAAACGCCGTGGGTGATTCTCGGCGGGCACAGACCTGGTATTATCGACAGCACGGACGGTCCGGATGATCGAGACGTGGTGCCCGGAAAGCGCAATCCGAGCGACTTATCAGTCATGGACGAGCTACAGCGCGACGTGTGGCCTCTTTTGGTGAAGTATGAGGTCAACGCGGCGTTTTGGGGGCACAATCACGCGTACCAGCGCTCGTGCGCTTGGCGAGCGATCGGCGAGGGGCTGTTTAACGCCTCCAATGGATGCGTCGCGTACAGCCGACTCGGTTCAGACGGCGTCGCCGTGTACGACAAACCGGGCGCGCCGGTGAGCTTGCTCGTCGGCACGGGCGGGGCGAAGCACACGCGAAACGGCGTCGGACACGCGTTCACGGAGAAGGCATTCTACGAGTTTGGGTACGTGCGGCTCACCGCGCACAACAGAACGCACCTGTACGGCGAATATCAGGAGGCGGGTTCGGGATACGGCGATGTCCTGGACAAGTTTATGATTATCCAGCCGGTCCGAGTGTCAACGACCGGTGACGAAGACGAAGCGGTATTGTCTGCAAGACTCGAGCGCGCGTTATCCGAGGTGAAGACGTGGCGAGGCGCGGCGACCATCATGGCTGTCTTCGTCTGCGCCACGTTCGGCATCGGCGCGTTCGCGATGGCGAGACAGTGGAAGACGGAATCCACCAGGCACAGATTTTCGATTTTGACCTCCACGATGGACGACGGCGCATTATAGATTGACTCGCGCTCGAGCGGGTGTACGATATGTACGATGCAATTTTGTAACGATTCGGAAATGGCACATTCTTTTCTTTCATCTCGTATTACACGCTCTCCGGCGTGTGCCGTCCCAAAAAACTCACGGTTCCGCTCTTTAGAACTTACCCAAACCGGCGTCCGACGAAAGGACGCGCGCGAGGAATTGCAGCACCATGAAACCCAAAATAGGAGTGAAATCAACTTGGCCCATCACGGGCGGGATCAAGTTTCGGAACAGATTCAGGTACGGATCCGTCACCTGACGCAGCATCGTCCACGGCTGGCGCATCCAGTTCACGTTCGGAAACCACGTCAGGAGGACGCGAACGAACAGCAAAAGGAGGTAGAGCTTAATGAAGGACGCCACTGACTGCGTGACCAAACCGATCATCTTCCTGTCAACCATGGTCGCCGCCGCGACGGTGAACAACGGCGCCGCCGACGCTCGCATCGTGCTCGCGTCCTCCGCCATGATTTCAACCCCAATCTTCCGTTGTCGCCGCACCGCATCACCCACGATCGACACCGCGCGCGCGACCGAACGCGCGCTCGGCTTCTCCCCCGCCGCGCCCGTCGCGCTCGCGCGCGCGCGTCGCCGCGTCCGCGTCTCGCCTCGCCCCGTCGCTGCGCTCGAAAATCACCCTCGTCAGTCCCCGCTCGTCGTCCCATCCTCCGCGCGCCATCGCTCGACGTCTCCCGTCTCCACCCGCCCCTCGATCGCGGTCCCGTCGCCGTCGTCGTCGTCGTCGCGCCTCGACCCATCATCGATCCACCGATTGTGTCTCCAAACCCTCATCGATGCGTCGTTCGCGCGCGCGTCCGCGCCGTTCACGCCCGTCGCTCGCGCGCACCTCGTCGCGCCGTCGTCGCGATCGACGCGCGCGCGGACGCGGCGAACATGCTCGGTCGTCGTCGTCGCGATGTGTCTTCTCGCGGTGGCGATCGCGATGGGTGCTCGGCGTTATCCACGAGTCATGACTCGTGAAAGAGTCCCCCAGGGCTCGATCGACGCCACCATCCCTCGCCCGCGCGCGACGCCGCGCACGCCGACGCGCGAGACGGGCGACGCGATGACGACGGCGACGCGGACGACGCACGCGGGCGCGCGCGCGCGAGGGACGGGCGGACGGCGCGCGCGCGCGCGCGTGAACGTCGCGCGGGCGGCGAACGCGACGGACGACGGCGCGGTGAGCATTCGACGACGACCGCCGAGCGGACCGTCCAAGCACGCCCTGGGCGTCGGACAGTTTGAGTTCATGATCGAGGAAGTGAACGATAAGGGCGAGCGGGTGACGAACGAGGAGAACAGACCGAGGAACATCTTGGAGGAGATCGTGTGGTACAAGGACGTCGAGCTGGCGGAGCGAAAGGAAAAGTTTCCGCTGCAGTTGGTGCGAACGGCGCTGGTGAACGCGCCGCCGACGCGGGATTTTGTGAAGGCGATCACGGATCAGCTCGAGGCGACGAAGCAACCGGGATTGATCGCGGAGGTGAAGAAGGCGTCGCCGTCGAAGGGGGTGATTCAGCCCAACTTTGACCCGGTGAAAATCGCGAAGGCGTACGAGGCTGGTGGAGCGGCGTGTCTGAGCGTGCTGACGGACGAAAAGTTCTTCCAGGGTGGATTCGAAAACTTGCAGTTGATTCGCGAGGCCGGGGTGACGTGCCCGCTGCTATGCAAGGAGTTCATCGTCGACGCGTATCAAATTTACTTGGCTCGCAAGTACGGCGCCGACGCGATCCTTTTGATCGCCGCTGTTTTGCCCAACCAAGACTTGAAGTACTTCATCAAGATCGCGCACTCGCTTGGGATGAAGTGCCTGATCGAGGTGCACACGTACGGCGAGATGAAGCGCGTTTTGGATGGCGACTTTCCCATTGATTTACTCGGCATCAACAACCGCGACTTGGGGACGTTCGAGGTGAGCCTGAGCGTGACCACTGATCTGATGAACGGCCCGCTCGGCGAGGAGGTAAAGGAACGCGGCATCACCATGGTGGGCGAGTCCGGTATCTTCACCATCGACGACGTGAACCTCTTGCAAGATTCCGGCGTCGGCGCCGTTTTGGTCGGCGAGTCTCTCGTGAAGCAAGACACCCCGGACGTTGGCATTAAGAAGCTCTTCGGCCGCCCGCTTTAAGCTTAATGCATTGAAATTCAACATTATCTCGGGGACATTCCCGTTAAAACGCATCATCGTGGGTATAATCCACGTCAAACTTGAGAGGAGAAAACGTTCCTGCGAGACTGATTTTATTACATTGTTCGTGCGCGACGTGTTCGTCTGATTCGCGAAAATAAATTGCGCTCGAATCCTAAATCGTTATCCCCATACATCGTCTCTCGGCGGCGGGGGATATGCCGCGGGTCGAGGATTGTATCCTGGCGGCGGTGGATGAGACAGTGGATATCCGGGCGGTGGCGGATGAGATACTCCAGCGCCGCCGATGGGTCGTGGAACGTACGGTTGCGGCGGTGCCGAAGGCGGCGCTTGGTACGGGATATATGTGACGTTCGGCGTGTTCACGTGCGGCGCCGCCGTCGCGTGTATCGCTGGGCGCCCACCGTATTGTTGAAAGTGCGCGCCACCGTTCGTCGGCAGTTGCACCGCGTACCCGGCTGCGCCCGCGCCCGCGACGGGCTGCACCACCGCACGCGGGCTCGCCTGCGCCACCACCTGTGTCGTTTCGTGTGGTTTTGATACCTGCGACGGCGCGAACGTCAACACCACGTTGATCAACCCGGCCGGTCGTCCCTTGCCGTCGAACACGCTCACCTCCACGTCGTCAAACTGTTCCTTAAAAACCTTATCGAGCTCCACCACCGCCGCCCCTATGCACTTATCGCTCGTCATTAAGTTCGCATTCCATATCCGCAGATCAATCTCGTTCTCCCCGCGCGCGATATTGAAGGAAAATCGTTCGTTCCACGTCGGGCTCGTTCCGCCATCCTTGCACACCTTGGTTCGCACCGACTGACTCTCTCCAACCTTGAGCACGACGTACGGGTCTTGTTTCCCGAACGTCTGCGTGTCCTTCAACCTGATCGCCGAGAGCACTGATGCGGGCGCGGCGCGACGACGTCGTCAGTCGAGGGTGACGATGCGACGGGGACAAAACGCGTGGCGACATTCGTGATTCAGATTATCGACAGAATCGACGCACTCGCGGGCGTTCGAGGCGCGCGCGCGATCGAGCGAACGCGTCGTCGTGCATACCGTTCACGTCGAGCTTGCCGCGAGTCATCGCTCGAGTTCGGTTCGAGTGCGTCGCGATGTAAAGAGAGGTGGCGCGACGCTAGACGAGCTGTGTTGGCGCACGACAAGGGAAGGAAGCGCCTCTCGGGAGCGACAGGCGCGAGCTAACGGTGAATTGTGATGTTCGGACGTTCCGATTCCTAACTCGCGGCGCCGAGCGCGGCGAGGGTACTCAAGAATGCCTCTCCCGTGCACATGCCGGTAGAGCCGTAGATGACGGAGCGCACGCTGGCGCGCTCGCGCGTCTTGAGCTCGGCGAGGGATTGGTACTCGAGGTAGTTGCCACCGCCCACGACAAAGCAGATACCTTCGTGAAACGCGGGATCGCCCGCGCGCGGGACGACCGGCTTGCCAAGAGGCGCCTTTGGATCCAGGTGCGCGTACTCGGATGTCTCCGGACCAGGTTGGTTCGCCATGAGCGCCTCAAAGGCGAACGCGACCGGAAGCACGCGTTCCCCGCTGAGCAAGTTTCGCACCCCCTTGGTGATCGTGTTGATACTCTGCCCGTAGAGCTTGTCAGCCCACTCTAAGATGTTGCCCTGGTTCGAGTCTGTGCGCCTGTGGGCGTCCGATTCGGCGCCACCAGACATGTTCTTCAATCTCGCGTTCAGGCTCATCATGCGCTTAATATACGTAAGCCCGGCCGTATCGGCACCGCTTGCTCGCAGCGCACCTGCCACCTCTTCTGCGTCCTGAGGCGACATGCTCTCCGTCGCGGAAAGCGTATACACAATGGCCAGGCGAACTTTGTCGCTCGCGCTACCGCGGCCAGTGGCTTGCAGTAAGCTCATCACCGCGGGCTTATCAACCTTACCGACGAGTAAGTCTTCTTCTATGGCATAATACTCATCCAATCCACGCTGCTTGATGTTCCCCAATAGCGCGGTCGCGATGTTCGTGTGCTTGTCGATGACGCGCTTCTTCTCTTGAAGCTCCGGAAGCGACTGCACCGCATCAGCGAGTTTCGCCGTGCTGTTGCCCAGTGCATCGTCCTCGTCATCTGCCATCGCCGCCTGCGCGTTCACACGCTTGATGGCTTCCTTGTATTTCGCGAGCTCAGACTCCACCTCCTCAGCCACCTTTGGGAACTGGGCCTCGGCGTTTTCCGCCCAAAATGGATCCGATTCCTCAAGCGTGTAGCTCTTCGGCTTGGCCCCATTCACAGCCGCTGTCGGACCGTCCACGTCAACATCCACGCGGTTCAGCTTCATGTTTAACACGTCGTGCACGAGCGGCTGATACGTCCACGCGTGCTGCAGCATAGCCGTGAGGTCGAAGTTTCGGTCAAACAGACACAGCAGCGGTCTCTGCACGTAGCTCCCGCCGAGCCCGATGCGAAATCCGCCCTCGAACGGGTTATCTTTCTGGCTCAGCGCCTCTCTCAATCTCGAATCCAACTCCTTTGCGATCATCTCCGCCGCGCCGCCGCGCTGAGACCGAATCACAGGAACTTGCCCGAGCGTCACGCACGCACTGTACAACCCAGTCGCCACGCTCGCGATCATGCGCTCAACATCGCGCTCGTTCGCCCTAGGATCGTGCAACAATCTGTATCCATCGTCCAAGCAGAGATCGAACAGATCGTCCTCGAGCGAGACGTACCCCAAGTACTGCTCCCGCACGCACGCTACTTTCTCATCCGCGCCCGCCTTGGCCGCGCTCGTCGCCAACTCCTCCAGCGCGCTCTCCGCCAGCGCGTTCGAAAAATTCAAGTGGTAGACGTCATACAGCCCTCGTTCGAAATCTCGCGCGATCATCCGCACGTTCTCGATCGTCGGTCTCACGAAGTACACCGCCGGCGTGTCCGGAATCTCCTCGCGATCCTTCGACAGGCGCATGTGCAGCGTCACCCCGTGATCCCTCAGCTCCTTCAGCGTCACCAGCGGTGCGATCACGTCGTGTGTGAACGCGTCCAGGATGAGCACCTTGTACGTGTTCGCCTCTTCCGCCTCCGCGTCGGGGTCGTTCAAGTAGGCGAAAGCGGATTTCGTGCTGTTGGAATTCTTGACGAGACTGAGCATCTCGTGCACCGCCTGGCGCTGTAGCGGTCGTAACGCGAGCGGCATGACGTACTTCACGAGAACGATCGACGTGAACGCAGAGGCGCGTGGCTCGGGGACGACGCGCGTGCGTGTGAGGCGGTTCTTGCGCGTCTGGAGCGGAGAGGCAAATATTGTCGCGCGGTTTTACACGGTGTTGTGTGATGTTACACGCGAAGTGCGATGCGAGCGAAGATATCACGCGATCAGAGGTCGAATCCAATGTCCATCCCATCGACGTCCACGGAAACGTCGCCGAGGAGGTCGTCAAAAGCGACGGGATCGAAGTCTAACTCGTCCGGCATGGCGTCAATCGAGCGGAGACCCACTTCGCTCGTCACCTCGTCAATCGGATGACCGATCATGAAATTCGCCATCGCCGTGTCCCCTGATGCGTCCATCGGCTCCTCCTTGAACCTCGCGAGTAGATGCTTGGGCGCGCCGACGCCGCACCAACCAGCGTTTATGGCTAATCTATTCCTATTCATGGTCTTCGTGTAACGCGCCAGGAGGTGAATCGTAAGGTCGTTGTGCGCGTCGACGTCTTCCAAGTGCGCCGCAGGTTTCCATCCGGTCGTGTTTGCGGCGATGATTTCTCGGGCGCCGACTCGTAGGCCCTCGGGCAAACTACGCAACTCGGAAGCCAGGTTGAGTCGGTCGTCGCGTTCTAACGGACGCATGAGAGCGAGCACTTGGTTTTGTACCTCCCCGAGCTGTATATTCACCAGATCGATCGCCTCAGACGCCTTCGAACACTCCTTCTCTTTACTGACTACGTCCGCGCGGCGACTCGCCGCCTCGTTCTTCGCCTCAGCGGCTTTGCGCTCGATGACGCAGCATGCCTCGACGTCGGCGATCCTTTGCTGGATGGTCGCCCATCTCGTCTCCCACTCCACTAATAGTTCCTTCGCCATCGCGTGCACGTCCGTACCCTCGGCATTGAACTTCATGGCGTTTGCAAAGGTGAGGCGAACGTCGGCGTCGACTTCCTCAGCCTTGACGTACTTGCCTCCGTTCTCGATCAAATTCTTAACCGTTCCGAGATCCATGGGCTCTTTGATGATCTCACGATACGTCGGTAGATCAAGTGCGTCTGGGTCCACGGGCGCGGCGAACGGAAACCCCCACTTGTGCGCGATTAGTTGTCGCACGGACGTCAGGCACTGCTTGTGGACAACTTCCAGCAGCGCTCGATAACGAAGCGTATCGAACCCAACCTGCGTATCTGGCTTGCAACCCAGCTTTTGGCGCATCGCTGAGATCCCCCTGGACACCGATGTGGCCTTCCTCTTGGAATCGATCTCACTCAGAGCGGCGTTCGCTCGCTGCGAAATCAAGCTCAGTTCGTCTCGTTGCTCCGTCAACGCATACGCTCGCACAGTCAGGGTGTTCAACAAATGGTCGAGCTCTGTGAGGCGTTTGCGCAGCTCCATTTTCTGCGCCCGCTCTTCTGCCATCGCTCGCTTGCTCTGCGTCGCCGGTCCTCGAGACGATGGACGAGACGGAGGTTGCACGAGCAGCCCCGTCATCAAACCCGCGAACGGGTCCACCGTCAACGGCACTGGCATCATCATCCCCCCCCCAGCCTTCTTCTTACCCCTCTTCTTGCTCGTCACACCGATGACACCGTCCCCGAGACCGAAATCTGGCACGAAATCGTCCACCACACCCAGCGTGCTCACGTTGTGCGCCTGCCATCTCCGAAGTTCCTCCTCGCTGTTCCCGTACAACGCGCCGTCTCGGGAGACGTGCGCGATCGGCCCGTCCATTCCAGCGAACTCACACCCGTACGGCAACTTCCCCGCGAGCTTCGCCACCTGCGTCGGCCCGAGAAACATCTCCCCCCGCTTCGTCGGCGGTCTCAACCATCCCGCCTTCGCTCCGTCCCGCGCCTCCGCCGACGCGCTCGCGCGTCCCCCAGTCTTCGCTCGTTTCGCCCACGCCTCCCCCCGTTCGCTCGGACGTTTCACGCGCGTCGATTTCCCTTCGCGCACCGCATGCAGCGTCCGCGCGCGCGCGTCCGTCCCACCGCCCGCCGCGTCCGCGGCGAGCCGCCGAGCGTCATTCGCCGAACCTCCCTCCACCGCGCGCGCGTCTCGTCGCGCCATCGACCCCTCACCCCTCGTCCCGATCGCCGTCTTCGCGCTATCGAGGTCACCGTCGACGCGCGCGCCCGGGTCCATCGCGCGCGCGCGCGGTGGGCGGAATGAATCGCCGCGCGACCGAATGCCGCGAGTGATTCGCCGCGACGCGAATCTGTGTCGTGGGCGATTTTTGATTCGTCCACGCGCGTGGACGATTTGTGATTCGTCGACGCGCGTGGACGATTTGTGATTTCATCAACCCGGGGCTCGATTCGATCGTCGTAGTGCGTGATCGAACGCGCGATGTGATGGGCGTGGGGCGAACGCGCACGCGCGTGGGGCGCCGATATCGTACTGGAGCACCGAAAGCGCGATGTGGCGCCCATGGCGACGGACGCCGTCGCCCCGCCGCGCGCGCGCGCCGCGTCCGCCTCTCCGCGACGCGTTCGAAGCAATGGTGCGTGCGCGTCGATCGATCTCGCGCGCGCGCGATTCGGGGGTCGATGGCGGGTGATTTGGCGCGCGCGTGGTGGTGGGCGCGCGCGGTGGTGGACGCGCGTCGACGCGCGGAAAGGGGATCGCGGACCTCGCGCGCGGGCGTAGGGTCAGCGATGGCGTCGGCGCGGTGATCGGCGATGGGGGGGCGGGCGACGATGGATGGGCGTCGTACGCGAGGGACACGCGTGCGGATGCGAGACGGCGAGCGGTTGGGCGATCGGGGCGCACCGGGGGGTGGAGGGAGCGACGCGCGGGCGGGGGGGCGATCGTGGGGAGATGAGGGCTTAGGGCTTTGGGCGCGCGCGCGGGGATGACGAAGACGCGAGACGAGCGAGCGACTGACCGTGACGCGTGTTGTTTTGAGATGACGCAGGCTCCGAGCAAGAAGACCGCGCCCGTGCCGGCCGCCATCAAGGCGAAGCAGCCGAAGAAGGAGGAGAAGGGTCCGTCTAACCCGCTCTTCGAACGCCGCCCGAAGAACTTTGGCATTGGCCAATCGCTTCCGGTCAAGCAACCGCTTAACCGCTACGTGAAGTGGCCGAAGTACGTGCGCCTTCAGCGCCAGCGACGTGTGTTGCAAAAGCGCTTGAAGGTGCCGCCGGCCATCAACCAGTTCAACAACACGTTGGACAAGAACTTGGCTACCAACCTGTTCAAGCTCCTCATGAAGTACCGCCCGGAAGACGCGGCGCAAAAGAAGGAGCGCCTCACCGGCATGGCCGAGGCCGAGGCTGCGGGTAAGGATGTCGAGAGCAAGAAGCCGGTTGTTGTGAAGTTCGGCATCAACCACATCACCTACCTCATCGAGCAAGGCAAGGCGCAACTTGTGTGCATCGCCCACGACGTCGACCCGATTGAACTTGTCGTCTGGTTGCCGGCTCTCTGCAAGCAAATGAACGTGCCGTACTGCATCGTCAAGGGTAAGGCTCGTCTCGGCGCCGTCGTTCACAAGAAGACCGCCACTGCCTTGTGCCTCACGGCGATCAAGAACGAAGACAAGCTTGAATTCTCCAAGCTTGTCGAAGCCATCAAGGCTTCCTACAACGACGTGTTCGCCAAGACGCAACGCAAGTGGGGTGGTGGTATTATGGGTGTGAAGTCGCAAGCGAAGACTGCTGCTCGCGAGAAGGTTATCGCTCGCGAACTCGCCCAGCGTGCCCAGGTCAAGGTCTAAGCGATCGAAGTTAGACACAGAGTGGGGTCGACGATTCGACCAGAGGTGATTGAGGCGTCGTTTTACGATGCGCGCCAGCACTTAGTGAGGCATTGCATTGTAACACAGGACTACATAGGTCTTCCTAATTCCTCTTCGTCAACACGATTAGTTCCTGTTACACCGCCACGCCGACGTCCCCCCGCATGGATACCAAACTAGCTTTCTCTCGCCCGCGAACTCGCGTTCTGGAATGATTCAGTTTCTTTTCCAATTTATCTGATGTCAGCCTCACACTCGCGCGCGCGCGCGAGTCGCCGCCCACGCCACGCCCTCCGTCGACCACACGATCGATCGCACATGGCGGACATCACTCCCGTCGAAGAGCCCGGAAGCGTGACGAAGAAACCGTCGTCGGCCGTTGACCGGGATTCATCGAAAATGAACTCCAGCGGCAAGCCCTGGTGGCGCGACTTGAGCGTCCCGCGCCTGAGCGTGCACGACGAACCTGTGTATGGGTTGAAGGTGTCGAAGACGTTCAACCTGCGTGGACACGACGTGGTGGACAATAAGACGAGCGTCACGGTGGGCGCGATGGCAGATTATACCTCCAAGCAGGCGCACTTGTTCGCCAAGTGCGAGCACATGCTGGATGACTCTGGAAAGATCGCGATCGACGTCACCGGGGTCGAGCTTCAAAAGCAGTTCGACGCCCTGGAAGGTGTGCTCCGCGCGGACGTGAACATCGGCGCGGGCGTGAGCTGGGACGGGAAGCCGTACATTAACTTTGACGCCATGCCGAAAAGCGCGCTGATGAAGGGCGTCGGTCTCGCGACTGCGATTCATCAGGGGCGATCGATCGACCTTCGACCGACGCGGCCGTTGAACGAGACGCTCAGCCTCGAAGCGCCGTTTTCACTTTACCGCGACGGCTCGGAGCTGAACGTTCAGGTGCACGGCGTCATCGGAGCCGTCAGCCTTCCCAACTCTGACTTTTACATCACGAGAAGATGACGAGAAACACAAACTGCGTTGTAATTGAACACTCGGTACCAAAATCGCGTCACACATCACCCGACTTGTCCTCTTCGCTCGTGGCGCCTCTTCCGCGTCCCGCGCGTCGCCGCCTCCACACACACCGCCGCGCCGCTCGATGGCGAGCGAACTCAAAGACCAGGGCGGACTCGCCGAGATCGCGCGCAAGCTCGAGGTCCGTCGCGCATCCATCACCGCGCGTCCGATCGTCGACGCGTTCGCGAACGAAGCGCACCGCCGCCGCTTTCCACAGACTGACGAACGTTTTTCGCTTCTTCGACGTCGCAGGCGGCCAGACGCGCGGGCGATGCGAGCGCGGTGAAGGAAACGACGCCACTCGCGCTCACGCGCACGCGCGAGACGTCCACGCCGATGCTAGATGTTAAGGAGGAGAAAGAGGCGAAGCGGGCGAAGAAGCTGAAGAAGGACAAGGCGGAGAAGAAGACGAAGAAGCTGAAGAAGGAAAAGAAAGTGAAGAAGGAAAAGATATCAAAGAGATTGAAGACGCCTAGCGAGCGGAGCGAGAGTGAGAGCGAGAGTGAGGAGAGAGCTGAGACGAGGGATCGAAAGAGACGGACGGAGACTGGGTCCAGCGGTGAGGAGGAGGAGGGCGACGATAACGAGAGCGTCGATGACGACGACGAGAGCGAAAGCGAGAACGATGACGCGAGGCAGAATGAGCCAGAGGGAGATGTGAGCGAAGAGTTTGCTCGCGCGCGGGCGACGGTGAGACAGGCTTTGGAACGATTCGGGAACGTCGAATGCCTCGATGAAGAGTTGCGTCAGAAGCACGGGAAATCTGAAGCCGTGGAGAAGGCGTGCAAGACGCTGGGCATGCAGATCGGGGCGCTGATTAAAAAGACCTTGCGAAAAAATCTCTCGCTCATGGGCGCCAGGGATAACTTACTCGCGACGAGTCTGTCGTTGGAAGACGATTTGCGTCCTAGGAAGTCGACGGATCCGTTGGTTGACAACATGGACCCCGCAAACTTTCAATGCAGAATGTGGGACTCCATCGCAAAGCACGACAACGTTGTTTTTGGTCGAGCGCAGGCGGCGATGGACTCGGTTGAGAACAGACAATCTACATCTGCGACCACTGAAGGTGAGGACGAGACGGCGTTTGCCAAGGTGTACAGAGATGCATTCATCGAAGCTTATGGCGATGACATCGAGACGCTGAGAAAGGATGAAAAGACAAACGTGAGTGTCATCTTGCGAGCGATCCAAAGCGGCGTCGACATCGTACCAGAGCTCCAGAAGCAGCTCCATCTTCAATGGTCGACGCTCAGCGCGAGACAGCAGCCGAAGGAGTCTACGGAGTAGGTCGTCGCGATCGATAGTTTCCCATTCGCAGCTACCGGTACCGGCCTGTACTAGTAGCGTAGATACTACTAACCTCCGTGTCAAAAGTGATGATACTGAGCTTTGTTATACGCGTTATCGCATCATATCGAGGCATGCTGTACATCGCTGGAAAGCTGTTGAAATTTCCCGTACGTCGATGCAAGTTCCCCGGTGTGGATTTGCGTAAAATCGCCGATGCGTGATGATTTCCATTTTGTGTCAATTCCAAAATGATAGGAAAACGCGAAAAAAGTTGCAAAAGTTCGAGAGCGATTTAGCTAAATTTTTACCCCTCCTAGGGTTTTCTCCTTTTTTCTACGTGTGTACGCCCATCGACGAAACAATTCGAAACGCGCGTGCTCCGCGTGCCAGCGCGCGCGCGGACGACACAAATCGACCCGGGGCGCGACGGAGAGCTCGCGTGCCAAGTTTCACATGTTTTGGCCGCTTGGTCTGCTAAACCCAGGCACCGAGCGCTCAGGGGGCGAGGAAGAGCGCACGCCATCAAGTTTGAATCGCGCGCCTCGACGGACGAAGTTGCAGGTTCACGGCGACGCGCGCACGCGACCGGTGAGCGAGA